GTGGGGAACACGTGGGCGGTGGGGGACACCTGGGCCGTGGGGGACACGTGGGCCATGGGGGACACCTGGGCTGTGGGGAACACCTGGGCCGTGGGGGACACCTGGGCCATGGGGAACACGTGCGTGGTGGGGAACACGTGGGCAGTGGGGAACACGTGGGCTGTGGGGAACACGTGGGCCGTGGGGGACACGTGGGCCGTGGGGGACACGTGGGCTGTGGGGAACACGTGGGCCGTGGGGAACACGTGGGCCATGGGGGACACGTGGGCTATGTGGAACAAGTGGGCTGTGGGGGACACGTGCGCGGTGGGGAACTCATGGGCCGTGGGGGACACGTGGGCCGTGGGGAACACGTGGGCTACGTGGGCCGTGGGGATCACCTGAGCCGTGGGGGACACGTGGGCCGTGGGGAACTCGTACACGCACCCTTGGTGGGAATGTAAATTAGGGCGGCCACTGTGGAACACCCTTTGGAGATTGCTTCAGAAACTAGACACAGACTTGCCAAATGATCCAGCAATCCCACTGCTGGGTTTATGCCCAAAAGATATGAACATATTGTATCAGAGATACTGGCACCACCACTGTTGCCCCCAAACACCCAAACTAGTGGGAGGCGTTGCTGTGGAACCCCTAACCCGGTCTGCTCACCCTCACTGATGTGGGGTGGAGGAAGAAGGCAGTGTTTACCGCACGGCGCAGAGCAGGCAGCAGGGCAGCCGGGGCTGAGTTCCCAGCTCCCCGAGCAGTGAGGGGTGAGGGGCTTGTGGACTGACACTGGGGCTGAGAGGTGCGTGGTCAGCTCGTGTCCAGGGGCCTGCTTGGCCAGTGGTGCCCGTGCCCTGTCTTTGATGGGTCAGTGATGTGCTTTCTAGAGAATCCATGGTGGCCAGGCGGGCTGCGGTTGGTCTGGGGGTTACATGCAGGGGGCAGCTACATTCTGCCTGGACGTGGAATCCCCTACACCAGTCATCCCAGCATGGGCCAGCAAGGTTCTTACCTACTGGAGGAGCCGAGGGCTCCCGAGTCAGTGATGAGAGCCTCGTGGGGCCGCCTGTGTCACCCCCTGGAGTCAGTGACCTCCCTCTGATGGACAGGCGAGGGACCTGGGCTTCGGGGGGCAGAGGAGAGTCAGGATCTGGCTTTTACATTGTGGGGGTTCGGTTTCACCATGTTTATGGCAGCCTCTTCACAACAGCCAAAATTTGGAATGAACCGAGGTGTCCATCCCCAGATGAGCCGATAGAGAAAATGCGGCACACATACACAGGGCACTATTATTCAGCCATAAAAAGAAGGAAATTCTACCATTTGCAGCAAAATGGACACAACTGGAGGACGTCATGTTGTGTGTAATAAGCCAGACCCAGAAAGACTAATACCACATGTTCTCCCTTGTATGTGGGAGCCAAAACGGAGCTACACTTTTAAAAAACAAACAAAAATACCTGTCTGTGTGCATCAGCATTGCTGCAAATATAATTTTGTGAAGCTTTGTTTTCCACCTTTGTCAAACCAGTGGTTAAGAATGTTCTACTTCTATAGTTTTAATGATCTGTGATTACTTTAAAATGTACCGTATATGGGTGAAATGGTCATTTTTCCATTCCATTACTGTTTTTTTAAAAGATTTATTTATTTGAAAGAGTTACACAGAGAGAGGAGAGGCAGAGACAGAGAGACAGAGAGAGAGAGAGAGGTCTTCCAACCGCTAGTTCACTCCCCAAATGGCCACAAGCTCCAAAGCCAGGAGCCAGAGCTTCTTCCAGGTCTCCCACGTGGGTGCAGAGGACCAAGGACCTAGGCCATTTTCTACTGCTTTCCCAGGCCACAGCAGAGAGCTGGATCAGAAGTGGAGCAGCTGGGACTCGAACCAGCGCCCATATGGGATGCCGGCACTGCAGGTGGTGGCTCTACCCACTGCGCCACAGCGCTGGCCCCTCAATTCCTGTTCAAAGCAATTGTCTATATTCCTGCTAAACTAGGGGCTTCTTGCTTTTTACTCGTTAAACTTCCTGTTCGCTGGAGTACTAAGCCTTCTTTCTGTACTGTGAAGTTAAAATATGTTATCTCAAAAACTAGACAGAAAGGGACCAGGAAGGAGGGTGGGAGGGGAATACCACGTCTTGGAATTGCATCTGCAAACCACATCGGATCTGTTGAACACTGGACTGAAGAGCCCAGTCACCCAGCCCACTCTGCGGAGACGCCTCGGCCCCCGGAGCAGCTCGGCTGGTTTAGAGCCACATCCCTGCTGTAAATACTCCATACGGAATTCGAGGGATTTAGGTCCCGGTTCAACGACAGCGATGTCGCTGCTGAGCCGGGAACACAGCACGGGCAATGCAGCCGCGGAAACCACCGAACGCGATCGGCGGGGAGAGGCGGCGGAGCTGAGCGGGGCAGGACGGCAGAGGCGGGCAGGACGGCAGCGCGAGGCCGGCTCCACGCACGCTCCGCGCCGGCTTTGCGGGGCTACTCGGGTAACGCTATCCGACCCACGCGTCCGCCATGACCGCGACCATCAGCGCCGTCCTCTTCTTCCACAGGGGGACTGTCCACGTGCGAGGCAGTCCTAGGAAGACGTGCCCCAGCCACCTGCTTGCCGGGCGCTGCGGGATCCGCCCGGAACCCCGTCCCCGCGCCCTTCCCCACCTTCCCCACGTCTAACCCCACCCCACCCCCACCCCCGGGCGCCAGGGCGCCGTCCCCGGAATCCCTCAGCCCAGCTCCGTGTGTGGCCTACTCCTGACCCCCGGGAGCGGGGACGCGGGGCTCCCACGGCTCTGAGAGCCGCTGTGGGCACCGGCTGACCGCTGGGGGTCACTGCTGGGCGGACAGAGGAGGGCGGGCGGCCGAGGCCGCGGGCCTGGGGGACGCTCAGGGCTGGGGCAGACGCTGCGCCCCTGCGGGGGTCTGGAGACCCGGGAGGAGGAAGCGGCCCGCTTGTGTGCGTCCGAATCCTCCCCATCGGGGGCAGCGCCGCCTTTTAAAGCCCGAAGACCCTAAGTAGCTGGAAAAGCACTTTGGAGCGCTTACGTTTTGGGCGGGTGCGAAGGGAGCTGTGTCCACTCGGGACGCCGCTGGCTTCAGAGGCTCCCTGGAGCCCTTTCGGGGGTCGCCCTGCCCCGTGGAGTCGCGGCCGGCCCCACCCCCTCAATTGCGGCTCCCCGCAGCCTGGCCGGGCCGCGGAACCCCAGTTCCCCTTTTTGCCGCTGGAGCTTGGGGTTGCGCCGGGAGCCGCTGCAGGCCCTAATGGCGCAGATTTGAAGGGGAAGCGAGAAAGACTACAAACGGGTTTATGGGCCTGCCAGCGGGACCCTGAGCTCCAAATTGCGGGGGCAGTAGACCCCGGTGTCTCGGGGCGCGGGCGGGGCGCGCGGCGGGTGGCGGACCCCGCTGCGCCCTCATTAGCGCCCGCTCCGCTCAATGGCTTCCTGTGGCTGGCTGTTTACTTGTCATTTGTTGCCAGCTTTGTTTCCCAGCTACCGAAGCCAAGGCCTTCTACCGCCGCTTTCCCCTCTTCTGCAGCCTCGGCTCGGGCCGCGCGTCCCGGTCCCCGTCCCCACCGCGCTCCCGCGTCTGCCTGGCGGCACGGGGGTCCCGGGACCGTCCCCAAGGCATCGCCCTGGGCACGGCTTCACCCTCGCAGCGACTCGGGAGTAGGGGGCAGGGACCCCAGCGCAGTCCCTTGGGCTGGGAGCAGGGGCAGCGCCTGTCCCACCAGCCTCGCAGGACCCCAGCACCGCGACCCCCAGAGCCACCGCAGGTCCGAGGACTGGGGGAGGGGCGTCTGTCCCTGCTGGAAGAAGCGGCCCCGACGCCCCCCAGCCAGAGTCAGTGCGATTAATGCTGACTGCTATGCACGCCTGATTTTATTCTTTTTAATTTGTTAAACAAATGTGCAGGCGGCAGCAGCTGTGGGCAGGCCTCCCACCCAGGCCCCTCAGACGAGGCCAGGGCAGTATGGGAGCATCTCCGGCTCTCAGCACCACCTACTTACTCTGAAAGATCCAGATCTCCAGAAAGAAGACAAAAAGGGGTCACAGAGGGTGTGGCCTGCAGCTAAGGTTCTGTCCGCAATGCCGGCATCCCATATGAATGCAGGTTCGAGTCCTGGCTGCTCCACTTCTGATCCAGCTTCCTGCTGTGGCCTGGGAAAGCAGCTGAAGATGGCCCAAGTGCTGGGTCCCTGCACCCGTGTGGGAGACCCAGGAAGAAGCTCCTGGCTCCTGGCTTCAGATCAACCCAGCTCCAGCCACTGTGGCCATTTGGGGAGTGAACCAGCAGATGGAAGACCTCTCTCTGTCTCTCGCCCTTCCCCTCTCTCTCTGTAACTGTCTTAAAAGTAAATACATCTTAAAAAAAAAAAAAAGGTCACACAGCAACCAAGCCCAAGGGACCCAGTTCATCTGAGCCTGCAGGACAAGAATCGCCTCCGTTTTAGCCCTGAAAGGAAAGGAGCAAGGGCACTGTGTTCTGTTTCTGCCGTCTCAGCCTCTTCTGACTCTAGACGGGCAGGTGAAGCCGAGCGAATCCATAACCAAATGTGTTGTAATTCTGTCTTCCGACAAGTTGGACTGGGCGGTGAGACTGCCAAGTTGTAAAGCTGTGGGTGCAGGGGAGAGTTGTGGGGGGCACGCTGGAATCCATTGCCGAAGACGGCGAGACACGGGATGGCGCTGACGGGAGGCGGAAGCCTGGTGTCTGTCTTCCACGAAGCGGGCACACGCGTGCTCCTGTGTGACCCGGGCTGCAGACCCGAGTCCCCAGGGCAAAGGGAGACAGGATGAGGCTGGCATTTTTATGGGAACGGCATCTCGGCTTCTCCCTGTCCTTCTCCAACCTGGTTCCCTGCTTCTCCTTCCTCCCTTGTCTCCCTTCTAAGTACTAACCAGGCCTGACCTGCCTAGCTTCCAGGGCCCATACGGGGTGGTGTGGCTGTAGAAAGTGGTTCCTGTCTTCCAGTGTCTTGGCCTCCCAAGTTTCCCCCTATATCAACTCCCATACAAGAAGAAAGAAAGGCGACTAGTCTACCCGCTCTCAAATCTTCCACTTTGACTTTTAAAATATAAACGAATCCTAGACTAGGGGCGGGGATTTTCAAAGGGGCGATGGGTGACGGTCCTTTTATACAACCTGGGCTCAGTGATGTTGGAGGTGACTCGTCCCCTGGGCAGCTGTGGTACCCAGATGCTGCCCTCTGTGCTGAGGAAGGGGGCTTGCATCTTTAAATCATCTGTTGGCTTGTAACTTGTGGGGAGCAGCCCGGACTGGACTGAGTTACTGGAATTAAGACTTATTCTATGCATCTGCTCTCCCACAATATGGCGCTGGGAGAGGAGAAAACAGCTTCCGCACAGCTGCCTCCAGTTCAACCAATAAACTGTAGGACTTGCTCCTGATTGGAGGAGAGCAGCGTACTCGGCGTGTGGGCAGCCGAGTTAGGATTGGCGGAGGAGGACTATAAAGGAGGAGAGAGACGGCATGCACCGGGAACATCTATGGGGAACATCTAAGGGAACCCGTGCAGCCCCCGAGAAGAGCCGGCCGGCGGTGTGCCGCTCCCCTGCGGAAGTGGGGAATGTGGCCAGGGGGAACTGCCCTTCCACGGAGGTGGAAGGGATAGTAGCCAACCCGGGAAGAGCCAGCAGCAAACCCGGGGAGGGCCGAGCAGACAGAAAGAACAGCGCAGGGTCCTGTGTCGTTCCTCCACAAAGAGGGGGAGCGACATAACTGGCCGTGAAAAGTGCCCCTGCTTTGCCCCTGTTGTCTCCGAAAGTCAGCTCGTAGGGTGGCAGAGCGAGATGACTGGAGTCTTCTTCGTTCAATTTTGAAACATTTGTATCAGGTAAATATACTTCATGTAGTTTGTATATTCAGGTTTAGGAGCACAGTGATCCCCCCCCCGCCCGCCCTCCCTCACCCCTGTCTTATTCTTTCTTTTATCTTTTACAATGACACACTTGCAGTTTACTTTATAGTCATAAGCTTAACCGTCCACGAAGCAAAGACTTCAGCAAATAGTAAAAAGAAAACCCTGGTCCTCAACAGGGTTGAACAATCATCCAGCCTCAAACGTCAGTTTCGCTCGCCGCATCACGCTTTCCGGGCTCTGGGTTAGCACGGGGCAGGTAGACAGGCGGCGTTGTCTTGTGGGGACTGCTGGCTGCGCTAGGCACAGAGATTTCCAGCTGCATCTGCTTTGTTGGGGAAGACCGGGCTTCGTCTTTTTGATGGCTGAGTAGAGCTCCATGGTGTATGCAAACCACAGTTTCTTCACCCAGTCCCCAGCTGATGGGATCTGGTTGATTCCGTACCTTGTTGCTCTGAATTGGGCTGCGGTAAACACGGGGGTGCAGAAAACGCTTCCTTAGGCTGATTGCGTTTCCTTTTGGTAAATTCCCAGGACTGGGGTGGCTGGTCGTGTGGAGGATCCATTTCCAGCTTTCCGAGGCGTCTCCGCACTGCCTTCCACAGCGGCTGCATCAGTTTACGCTCCCACCAGCGGTGGGGGAGGGTACCTTTTCCCCCACTCCCTCGCCAGCCCGCGTTTATTGTTTTTTGGTCCAAATGTGGAGCTGGAGGAACACGAGTGACGACAGATCTCCGGAAGCTGACCGGGAGGACACAGGAACTGGTGCCAAAGCAAAGCTCCAGAATACAGAACTAAAGGTGTGTGTGCTCTCTGCCTTCCCTGCAGTTTTACAGATGTTTCAGCTTTTTAGCAGTCAGTCCTGGGAAGCCTTTGTCTTGTGGTTGGGTTAAGGCTTCAGGACAGCTGGTTTTTAGAGATGGGAGAAGTGTGTTGATTTTTAATATTTTGCTTTCCAGTGAGCTGAGCCTGAGGGGTGCTGCTGTGTGACTCGCTTCCTTTCCTGACCACGGCCAGCAGCAGCGATAATAAAGGCCTTCAGTTCAGGGGAAAAGAACACCTCTGTTTCTCCCCAGGCCCTCCCAGAGCGCCCTCTCGCACCCAAGTGAAAAAACCCATTTTAATAAATGTCGGGTATTTACTTCTTGCTAAGTGCTCTGCACAAATACATGTGAGGAACGGCCTAAAGGGTGAAAAGATGGCGTGCCGGAGAGTGCTGTGGGTTTGAGAGCAGAGATGTTGAGGTAGGGCTGCAAGGTATTTTGCAAGTCAAGCCTACTTTACGAAGCCATGTGACTGATAGGAATTCCGCCACAGGCTTCATCGCAACTGGACCGTTCACCTCTGTGGGAGCATAAACATTCTAATGAAATTCTAACAAAAGTTCGAACTCATTTTTAGCAGGAGGCGTCAGTAGGTTGAAGGTCAGTAGGTTGAAGGTCCGTGAGACCTAACCGGCACCACCCGGCAGCGGGTAGGAACCGCCTCTCACTGGGCGGCTTGTGGCCTCCAGACAGAGCAGTGGTCGCAAGGGACCCCACGAGCGGCTCGGGGTCATGTCAGCCCGACCTCCCCTGAGCTGGTGGCGTCTACGGTAAGGTCCTCCCCGTGGGATTCCAGGCATAAACCTCTACTGCGTGTTCTGCCTGGGCCGAGCCCAGAGCCGGGCTGTGTCGGCACAAAGACCCACGTGACCGGCCGGTTTCACACTCCTTCCCCTGGAGAGAGTGTGGCGTCCAGGGGCTTCCAGCTGAGCCTGGTCTTTCCTCAGTTGGGTGTTTGCACTACCACCCTGAACGGACACTTGAGGCCCACTTCTCTGAGAGGCGCTGGCCTTGTCTGAGATCCGGGTTCTACAGGCGACGTTCTCTCGCGCCGACTCCATTGTTGCTAACAGAAGTGCCCACGACACGCTGTCCAAGCCTGCAGATTTCTTCAGGAGCTTGGGATGCGGCTTCCACTGGAGGCTTCACTCCGTCAGTGGAGTGACTTCTCTCCCCCCTCTTCCCCTCCTCCCCTCCCAGCCTCTGTCCTCCCTTCTCCTCTCCCCTCCTCCCCTCCCATCTCCCCTCCTCCCCTCCCATCTCCCCTCCTCCCCTCCCCCTTCTCCCCTCCTCCACTCCCCCCTCCCCCTTCTCCCCTCCTCCCCTTTCCTTCCTCCCCTCCCCTCCTCTCCCCTCCCCCCTTCCCTCTCCTTCCCTTCCCTTCTCTTCCCTTGAGAATGGCAGGATTCTTGTGGAGTTTGGGGAGTGGACTGGGGTGTTGGAGAAGAGTGCCCACTGCTCTTTGCCTTGCATGCAGATCTCCCAGAGGAGGTGACCTGTCTCTGGGGCAGTGGTGGCAGGAAGATGTGAGAGCCTGGCCTTAGGGGCTGGCGGCGGCCCTGTGTGGCTCATGCATTCTCACGAGCCCGCGGTGTGTGTGAGCAGCACTGGAGCGGGCACTCACGGGGTGTGGGCCTTTGGAAGTGGACGCACGGAACGGAGACGCTGAGCAGGGGTCCTGAATCAGAGACAGAGGCCAGAGAGCAGCAGCCCTGCCGTCACTGGGACCACGCGTGTGCGAGGGCAGCGTGTGTAGGGGCACCGTCTGCCTTCCAAGCAGTGCCTCCGCCATGGCCACCCTCGTCCTGGCCATCACCCGACACCTGTGCGGTCCTGGGGGAGCAGCGAGGGGTCTGTGGCCTGTCTGTAAATACAGGCGAGAACGGCACCACCTTTCTGGAAAAACAGGACTTTGTCCCCTAGGGATCTACAAAGGCTGTTCCTCACAACTCTGGAATACTTTAACCGTGTCTCTACGATGTGTTCTTTTTGCTGGTCTCTTTCGAAATAAAAAAAATTTATTCTAAGAATAGATAATATATCAATAGAATTTTGAGGCCGGCACCGCAGCTCACTAGGCTAATCCTCCGCCTGCGGTGCCAGCACCCTAGATTCTAGTCCCGGTTGGGGCGCTGGATTCTGTCCCGGTTGCCCCTCTTCCAGGCCAGCTCTCTGCTATGGCCCGGGAGTGCAGTGGAGGATGGCCCAGGTGCTTGGGCCCTGCACCCGCATGGGAGACCAGGAGAAGCACCTGGCTCCTGGCTTCAGATTGGCGCAGAGCTCCGGCCGTGGGGCGCCAGCTATAGCGGCCATTTGTGGGGTGAACCAACGGAAGGAAGACCTTTCTCTCTGTCTCTCTCTCACACTAACTCTGCCTGTCAAAAAAAAAAAAAAAATTGAATTTTGGAGGCCGGCCTGGTAGCAAAGCGGGCGAGGCCGCTGCCTGTGACCCCAGCGTGCCACGTCGGAGCTGGCTCACGTCCTGGCTGCTCTGCTCTCGTCCAGCCCCTGCTCCTGTGCCTGGGACAGCAGTGGGTGACAGCTCAACCCTCTGGTCCTCGCCGCCCATGGGAGAGACCAGGATGCAGCTCCTGCCTCCTGGCTCCTGGCTGTGGCCGGGCCCAGCTCCGGCTGTCTCGGCCATCTGGGGAGTGAACCAGCAGATGGAAGATCCCCCCCCCCCCCCCGTCTTTTAGTTAAGTAACGAAATAAATCTTTAACAAATGAACTTTTGCCTTTTCATAATGACAAAGAAAAAATCTACGCATGTAAGTAATATTATTGAATGCTGAAATAAAGTTGAAAAGATGCGAATTCCCGGTTTTATGCCAAAGGAAGGATCCGTCTTTCACATGGGACACCTGCTCTTAACTCGGAAGCCATGCGTCGCCTGGTGAGCTCACTGCTTCCCTCCTTACAGGGTCACGACAGCTTGCAGTATCACAGGGGCGGACCGGCTCTTGCTAACTCAGGGCTCTGGGTCCAGTGTTGAGTCCTGGACCCCAGCCTCCGGCTGCTCCCCCAGCTGCTGGCCAGCACTGATTGGGACAACAGGCTCTGCCCAGGGGACGGGGGAGGGTCAGCTTTGGATGGAGAGCGTGTGTTCGTTCCTCCACGGTATTTCCATTCCCGGGGGGGGATAACTTTTGCAGGTCTGCTATGTTTCCTCCTTAGCATTAAATATTCGCTCAGTAAGGTGGTGGTGGAGCAGGTGCTTCCGGACTCCTGGTGCACGCAGGGTGATATTTCCCATCATCCAGACAGCCTGATTTCTGCCTTGGAAGAAACTGTGGTGTTGGGGCAGATGACACACAGGGCAAAAACGGCTCCAGGAGAAAAGCAAACTGCCTGTTACACACTGCATGTGGCTTAGCAGGGCTCCCTGTGGAGAGCGGGCCGCGGTCTGGGGTTTGCATCCTGCAGAAGCTGCAGCCCCACCCCTCCGAGCTGTGCCCAGCGACGGGCCTCTGAGAGCAGGAGGTTCTGTGCCTCTGTCTCCCCTCCCCTTGCCCCTTCGTGCCTCTCCACTCCCTCCGCAGTTGGAGCCAGGGAGGGTGCCGGGAGCGTGCTGCACTGCCCCAGCCGGGCTTTGGAATCCAGGCAACCGGATTCTAATTGTGCACCCCTGCAGAGCGGCAGGGGTGTAACAGGGAAAGTTCAGTCTTGGGGTGAGGGCGACGGGGTTTCACAGCGGACGCTGGCTCGGACAGGGCCCCACGCTGAGTCCCGAGGAGGATGCCCGTGGTGACCACCCGAGCTGCGTGAGCGATCCCGGTTCACCTGTGCAGAAGAGACAGCCGTGCAGGCTGGCTGCCGTTTCCAGTGCGATGTTTTCTCTGCACAGCGCCAGAGCTTCCTCTCCCCTGGGAAATGGCGTGGGCACAGCAAGCCCCTTCCCTCTGTCCCGGGCTCTGTGCTGCAGGCTGAGCGGCAGGGCCGGGCCTCGCACCTGCGTGTGAGGAGCGCAGCCTTCTGCTTGTGGGGCAGGGCAGCCCTGGGGCCGTCTGTCCGCGGGCTCGGCCGCTTCGAGTTTGATTTGCCGTGAATGCTCGGGAGAAGATAGGATGTCCTCGCGGCTGTAGATTCGGAGGGTCCGGGGGGCACTTCCGGGTCACGAGGCTGTTATCTCAAGCAGGTTTAGGAATGTGGGAGCTTTTGGGCGAAGCCCGTGTTGAACCTCCTCCCTGCAGAAATCCGGGGAATTCAGTGTCTCTGAGGTTACTTCTCTGTGGTTCTGTGTCCGAGCACCCACGCGTGTCTGAGAAGGCTCAGTGTCCACAACAGTGTGGCAGAGCGTGCTGGGGAGCTGACAGTATTTCCTGGCGGTCCCTCGATGAGCAAGCCGAGGCTGGGCGGCGAGGCAGGGAGGGCCGCGCAGGTGAGCCCAGCCCCGACGGCCGAGCCCCGGCCTTCCGTGAGGATTTCACGTGGACTTCGTGGTCGGCGTCAGCTGTGGACCGAAGCGCGTCTTTCCCACGCCAAAGCCCTCACCCACAGCGGGTCTGGGGCCTCTGGGAGGCAGCGTGGTCCAGGCAGGGCCCCTGAGCCCATGGTGGGAGCAGTGACCTTGTGAGAAGACAGCAAGCGGCTTGCGCGCCTGCCTCCGGCTCTGCTGCGGGAGCACGGGGAGGCCTCACCAGGGCCCACTGCTGCGCTCTGATCTTGGGTCTTTCCAGTCTGCGGGGTCTCCTATGGCTGCCGACATCCCAGTATCCCAACCAACACCTTCCTATTGGTCCCACATTTATCCTACGTTAGCTCCGGCGCCCAGAAGCAGGGGCGATGGGAGGAGCCACAGAGGAGCAGGGTTCAGCTCAGGGTGAGGTGGCCGTCCCCTCCTATCGATGGGCGGGACGATGCGGTCGGTGTCGTCCTGAATCAGAGGTCCCCTTCCCCCTGCTGCCTGCAGGGTCTGGTTTTGAGAGGAAGTGGTCTCAATATTCCTCTTTCCAATTCAAAATGTGCATAGCAAAGGCAGCTAGGGAATAAAAACGTACCACGGAGGACACGCACCACGTGGGAGACCACTCGCCACGCGCTCCGCTGGGTAGACCCGGAGCCGCCATGGAGGGGGGGAGTAGTGGCCTCCTTGTGCCCCATAACGCGAAATGCTCAGACCTCACGGCCCGCAGCTTTCTCTGGGGCGTTACCATCATTGTAAACTACAACGAAGTCCATGGTCGAATTCAAATAAAACTGCAATAGTTACAGTGTTATAGGGCAAAAAAACTCTAGGAAATGAGCTAAAAATAAAAAGTGCCCTTAACAAGGAGAAAAATGGCCCCCAACTCACGTTAAGGCAGTAAGACGTGGGCCCGGTCCACGCCTGAAACGCGAACACTAAACACTCAGCCACGCGACGCTTCAGGCACCCTTCCTGGGCTATTGTAAGTGCCGGGAAAATAGCAGGTGCAGGGCCAGCGGGCCTGGCAGGTGCAGGGCCGGCCAGCCTCACTGCTGTGCGCTTGCGCACCCGTGCACACCGGCACCCGTGGCTTTATCACTGCTGCTCTCGTGGTACCACATTTTCCACCTGCAGCCGTGGCACACACGGCCGTGGCTCCGTCGGCAGCACAGCTGGAGCTGCTGCGTGACATGTAAGCAGCAACCGCGCGTCTGCTGGATGACTTGAGCCTCAGAGACTCCTGGCATGGATGCCCTCGAGATCCTGCACCGGGGTCACCTGATTGGGAGCAGTTTGCCCCGCTGGCCTCGGTTCCATCTCCTGCACTCCGGACTTAGACACGGCCTCAGTGGCGCTGTGAGCGCAGGATGCGCACTCGGGCACGCACACAGACGGCCCTGCGAAGTCCAATCTGCAACCTGTCACCTCACTGAGGCTCCGTGCCACCAAGCGAGCTGTGCACACAGGTCTTGCTTTCACAGGTGGCACAGCCCCCCTACCTCCTGCTTGTCCCGGGAACCACTCTGGGAGTGGGAGGCGACATCCCCGGCGATTTTGCTTTAACCTGAAGATCCTTTCTGGGAGGGTGATGTGCAAAGGCCAGTGGCAGCTCCTCTGCACCTTCATCCACTGCACCTGTGCCCAGAACAGGGGACCTCACGCACAAGGGAAATGGCACAGCAGGTCATCGTGCACTGTCGTGAGCTGTGGTGAGAGCCGTTTAGACGCTCGTGTCCCCATCAGGTTGTAGGGGAGATAAAAACCCCCATGGCCCCGAGATCTTTACGAAGCCTCTTCTGTGTTGAGAGCTGTTTAGACACCCGCACACCTGTCTCCAGTGGC